AAAAAAACAACTCATATAGGAGGTTATGAAATTCAGTCTGACACTTCTATTATAACTATAAAAGTCTAGACTTACAATGGGCTATCTGATATGTCGTACTATGGAAGCTGAGATATAAAGAAGAGACCGGCAGAAAATAAGTCAAAACCCACAATTACAAAATGCATCTCAATACAAATTATGGCAATAAAAGCGCATTCTGTTGACAGTGGATGATGGAAAACTACAGTTGCTGTTGTATGTGCCATGTCTGACACTGGAAATTGAGAGAAACAAAGAAAAATAAATATAATACGCTCTGGAATGTCTTTATTCACGGGCGACATGTTTATGCTGGCGACTGTTTTACACCCCCATCGATAAAATTCAGAACATTTAAAGAGGAAGGCTGCCTTGACCTCAGGTTAGGGCTAAACAGGACTGTGGGAGGTTGGCCAACATGTCAGCGAGAAATGGCTACACTCAATACATTTCTCTTTGTGGGAATCAATTCAAACCCATGCCCTCTGAGAGCAAGACCAAAGTCTAACCATTACATCACAGATGCTAGTACCTAGAAAGACAAATACATTTTTGGTGATATTATTTCAGGACCAAATGTTAGCTCCTATACAGACTACCCTAGTTGTTTTCATGGAGAGATGGGCATAGTGCATTTTAAACAAGAACTATTAAGTCATGTAATTAATTTTCCATCATACAAAATGTTGTTTTAGTTCTTATGAAGAGAGTAAACAGAAAGTCAAAGTTAAAGGAAGTATGAACATGACCAAACAGAGCATTAAGTGATTGTTTTCAAAACTGCCCTAACAGATGAGTACCACTGTGTATATTGCACATACTTAATTACTCACTATAGCAAATGACAAGTTGGCACTAGTACTAGTAAAGACATGGCACAAAAAATAGGAGATTCTCTAACACTGAACAAAGCAACAGCAACATTGACATACTGTAAAACATGTGACAAGTGATCATCAATCCACTTATTAGCATATAAATAAAAATCATTACAATTACAATGCCTATGATAAACTCACGCTCCTGCATGCACATTCTACTTTTACTCCACCCTCTCCTCTGTGGCCCTGTCTATTCATGAAATAAAAAAATTAATCATAATCTGGAAAACAAAATTTAAAAAACGTTTTAACTAAAATATGTAGAGTAAATAAGACAAACCAAATAAAAAGTTTCTTCATTACGTAATTTGGGTTTTACGATTAACAATTTAAAATAAAAAATCCTTGTCCAAAGTAACAAAGTAAGTAACACAGTCTATCCACAAGTATTTCCTGTCCACAGAAATGGTGTGAATTCATACATACTCCCTGTCAAAAGTCTAGGTTTGCCCTGAAATATTCTCTGTCCAAATATATACAGGTTCCTATTGTCTCCTTTAGTGGCGTCGGTGGCCTAGTGGGTTAGGCTGGCAACCGTAAGGTTGATGAAGGTTCAAATCGCATCAAGGGCCCGATGTTGTGTCCTTGGGAAAGGCACTTTACATGAAATAACCTCACCTCACCCAGGTAGGACTGGGTACCCAGCTATGTTGTTTCTCACAATTTAAAAAAATGGAAAGTCAGATTGATAGTGCAATCCTGGAAAATTAAAAAACTTCTGTGCAGGGTATAAGAATGTGATTTTTCAGCAATAATTTTTTTAAAAAGAAAAAACCTTTCCTTAACTACTTGAATGAGAGTTCAAATGACATACACGAGGAGAAGGCAAATTAGGAACAAACAGCATAAAGAAATGAAAACAAGCAATCAAACCTAAGCATCTACTTTTCCAACTTGAAAAAGAAAGTTGATCTGGTTTGGTATATGTGTCCAACACCTACCCCTTTAAACAGAGAAAGATTATCAGAGGGGGCCAGACTTTAAAAAAATTGAAGACAGCGTCCATCTATGACAGGACCGAGAGAGCAGGAGGAGATCATGGCAACCTCCTCAAACAATCCAAATTCAAGAACACCCCCCTTGGGATTCAAGTCAAGAGCGCCTAGAACAATCAAGCTACCTGAGATGAGAAAGTGATTTCTTGGGTAAACAGAAAAAGAGGTTATAACTTTTACAAGTCTTAGAAGAAAAATAATTTCAAGAAGCAAAACAAAATGAATTTCATGTGATCTGCATAAGCATTGATAAATTAAAATATGGAAAATAATACAAGACTGGATAAGATTGGATGGGTGCAAACAAGCAGCAAACTTACAAAACGTACACAAGGGTCTAAACACAGAGACTCATTAATGCTTTCATTCAAGCATTTAGACACAAGCATCAGACTACACAAATCTGTACAGAAAGAAAAATTGCTAAAACAAAATAAAAAAGAAGTGATCATTTCATTTTTTTAAAATGCTCTTGGCATCATTCAAAAGAATAATTGTTCCCAAACAGAGAAAAAGTAATAATTGCAAGTTAAGCATTATCACATTCTTCTTTCCATCTTTTAAACTACTGCATCAATGGAGAGGCCCTTTTTGCTTACTTGCTTACTTCCCCAGCACATTCCTAGCACGTTATTCTAGCTGCCACAGTTCTATGAGGTAATTGAATAGCAGATATGTGGCATAACGTGGTGGAATCAGGCTCTCGTCAATATTTGGGCATGTAGAGTTATTGGTATCATCTTAAAGCTTGTTTACTTGTCTTTATTTGGATGGAAAAAATATCCATTTATCTTGAATACAAGTCGAGATATTTTCAAATGAAGGAGGTTGGGGTCACCTGGTTTCAGAGGTAAAATTAGTGAGAAAAAGGCTGTCAAAAGTTAGTTATTTCCTTAGCATAAGAGTCCGTGGTAACTGAAAATTTACATTTTTTGTGCCTTCAATCCACGTTTTTCAGTCAAATCCACACAGAAATGAGTTCTTTAATAGGCATGAAATGTGTTGAGCCAAAAACCAAAAAATCGATAAAATTTCTCAAATCTGCGGAAAAATACCAGTTTCTTCACTTTGATTATTTTGACGAGAGCCTGATTCCACCATGCTGCCTCACATATATGTTTAGTGAAAGAAAGGCCGGCAAGGTCTATAGATACAAAAAAGAAAGAAGACCAAGAGACATTTTGTGCCTTCCGTCTTTTGTGTCTGAGCATGTACAATCCCATAGATATATGTGTATTTGTAGGTTGGCAAGAGTAGGAGCTATGCGCAAGAAGAAAACAGGGAAAGATAAAAAGAGAGAGCAGGAGAGAGAAAGACAAAGAAAGTGAGAAAGACAGCGAGAGAGGGAGGGAGGGAGGGGGAGGGAGAGGGAGAGAGAGAGAGAGAGAGAGAGAGAGAGAGAGAGAGAGAGAGAGAGAGAGAGAGAGAGAGAGAGAGAGAGAGAGAGAGAGAGAGAGAGAGAGAGAGAGAGAGAGAGAGAGAGAGAGAGAGGGGGAGGGGGGAATTGATAACTGTACTTTGTTATTGATAAACAATGTGTGTGGGTACTTTTTGTTGTAAAGCGCATTGAGCACTCTTTCAGTGAAAACAAGCTATATACATGCAATCCATTATTACTGACTATATATATAAATATATATATATATAATTTATGTCACACAGTACACAATGCAGTCATGAAAATTCTTCATTTTTCAACTCAATGAAACAGACCACTAAGAGAGACATAGCAGTGCTACATGTATATAATGGAAACGTTAGAACGAACAGATGTGGCGTCGGTGGCCTAGTGGTTAGGCTACAGGACTCGTAATCATGAGGTTACGGGTTTGGGGGTTCGAGCCGCGGGCACAACGTTGTGTCCTTGAGAAAGGCACTTTAGACGAATTTTCCTCACTTCACCCAGGTGGGAATGGGTACCCTGCCACAGACAGCGAAAGATCTTGTCAATATTTTAGTGTTTTAGCGCCTATAATTGGCTGCTAGCACTGTATGCTTCCCAGGAAGTTGAGGTTGTTTCAGAATGCTCTCAGGGCTCCTAGGGTAATAGTGGCGTCGGTGACCTAGTGGTTAGGCTCTCGGACTCGCAACCGTAAGGTCATGGGTTTGAATCCCGTCAGGGGCCTGACGTTGTGTCCTTGGGAAAGGCACTTTACACAAATTTTCCTCACTTCACCCAGGTGGGAATGGGTACCCGGTTATAGACAGCGGAAGATCTTGTCAGTTTGTTAGTGTTTGAGCGCGTGAAATCTGCACTGTATGCTTCCGCGTAAGCCGAGAATGTTTCCGAGTGTTCAATGGTCTGCTGGGGTAATAACATAGTGTAAAGCGCAAAGAGCCTGCTGTTGAGCGGGGATATGCGCTATACAAATGCTATTTATTTAATATTATTATACTATAGATTGCGAAGCGCACAGAGTTTGCTGTTGAGCGAGGACTGCGTTATACAAATACTATCTATTTTAGTAATTGTTGCAGGAAAAGCTCGATAATTCAAAGCCAGACTGTGCCGTAGAAGTATCTCATATGTCTGGATAGTCCGCTGCCCAGTGCTCTGTAAACATATCCCGCAGGGCGGCTAAAACCTGCGTTTAATGGCTTGTTCTAGCAGGTCTTGTCAATGAATTAATTCATCTCTTCATTTCTCTTTCTATTGAAATGAGTTTTACCAATCAGCCTCTTATAATTATAATCAGCAAACAAACGTCGATTCAAGATTGTGACATCCGATATCTTGCCCACAGTAGAATTTTCCTTAGCAAGCGGGGTGCAAACATGATTAGCAATCTAGGGGTTAATGTAGGTATTTTTATGCATCCATCAACACAATTTAGATCATTTAGAAGGCGGGCTACCGACCCTGTCTGTCAGGTTCAACCCAGGCTGAGAGGCCTACATCCCAGCAGAAATACTGAGATACTTGATAAGAATTCTCCCCATTCGAGAATCAAACCCGGGTCTTCTGCATGCCACAACCTGTCCCCGTAGTTTTATGCACCCCGCATAATTTAGCAAAATTTGATCAAATTTTGCATAATTTCTGATTATTTTCCTTTATCATTCTTTGTTAAAAATTAAAAGAATTGAATAATTTCACATTTTTGGGCTCAGTTTGCATAATTTCATAATTTTTTTTGCATAAAACCACGGGGACAGCACAACAAAGCGCCTAACTGCTACACCACGGACACAAGTAAGAAGCCAGTGAACAAGGCACCAACTGCAATAGCCAAAAAGCAGCATCTGTAACAACAGTAAGAGGGCCTGCCTCCCAACAATCAGACTTTATATTCACATAACGAAGATAAATGAAACTTGCTGCAGCAAATAGACAGAAGGATACCACTACAGATGTTGATTTGTCGCTTATGACGAGTCAACACAATAACAGTCATATTTTGAAAGAGAATAGATGAGGTCAGAAGTATTAAATATCAACAAAAAGTGGAAAGAACAGAATGATCACAACCAATCACCGGTACATCCTCAGGGCAAGGTATCTCTGCCATCTCCTCAGGCAGAAGGAGGACAACAGTAGCAATGCAAGACTGACAAGAGAAAACATTATTGCACGAGTCAAATATCAGTGATTCTATCAAACATTTGGAAACAGTACACATGTATCAGCAGATAGATACAAGAACCTGATGTAAGAAACAACAAGCAGCACTTGTAAACAATTAGGAGACGTTAAGTCCTGGTGCGTTAAACGTACTGAGAAATGACATAATGACATGCATCCTCCTCTCAGACAGACCTTGATATACATCCTACATAATGACTGCATACTCAAACAGATATATAAATACATCCATAAATTTATACCATCACACAGCCATAATATCAAGTACTGCAAGCTTTTAAAGCAGAAAAGGCTACTTGGCAGTGAGCTAAACTTGTATGTATGCCAAAGAGTTTGGCTTCATTTCTGTACCTGGCATTTTCATTAAGCCCTGGCAAGTGGGACCAAACATTTGTGTCTTCTCGAAAACTAACAAAAAACCCTTACGTAAAAGAAAATTTAACAGCTTGAGCCTGCTGTAGGAATGAAGTTCGAAATTCCTTATACCCCAAAACTTAGGATATCGGCTATCATCAAGTGTAACTTTTAAAAACGACATGAGGTTGTCTGGAAGGGACAAGGGAAAAACAACCCACAAGGACAATATAAGATATACAAATAATGGCCAGTTACACTCATGACAAATATACAACTGACGAACCATTGAGATCACTATGGTGAAGGAAGACGAATAAAATGCGATCTTTTAGAAAATACAAACATTCACAAAAACACACACACACGCACTCAAACATATCCCTGTTGAATATCATGTCTAAATGCAAACTTCTATCCCCAATCTTTTCAAATTCATGCACTTTAACAGGATATTCACAGCATACTTCTCCTGACAGTAGCATATCTAAAGTCTCTGCACACTGGTTAAGACAAGGATAAGACGAGATAAGATATTGACTCTCCACAGAAACAAACTGACACCATGCTCCACCACTCTCCAGAATACAAAATATGAATACATTCGTCATCTCAAGACAAACAGGTACACCCACATTGCAATACCCATGCACACACATACACAAAGACACACAGCCACCCTCCTTCCCTATCTCTAAATCTCTCTCTCTTAAAAAGCCCTATTATAATTTATTCTTACACTGAGTTATGCTTCTCCCTCAGAGACCTTTCATGACAACACATTTTATAGAACATTACAGCAACTGCAGCAAACCTGCACTTATCCCTATGGCCTTGGATGGAGACTTCCTTATTAAGAGTGTAATCTTACTTGAAAGGAAAAGTCTGAGATGCCCTATAATTTTAGAAAAGTCATGCTATTCTGGTAAGTATTGTCAGTTTGCAAAACACAGCACGAGGCAACTTCTCTTTCCCATTTTATCAAAATGACCAAAAATATATGCAATATGAAATGGAGAATAAGACTTCTCATCTATGAGCAACCAAAAATTATGGGCAGAGACCTTCAAACAGTAAAATACCATTATTTTTTATAATTTCACTCTCTAGGATGAAACTATAATTTTAATGTGAGGACTTGACCATTCATGTCTAAATAATAGTCATGTGCTCTATCACACAGTGGATGTTCTCTTCATACACAGTGGACATTTGCCAATTAATTAGTAATAATCTGACCTAAGATATTCATATTTGGGAAGAAGAAAATAGCAAGGCACTATACACACGGGAACCAGCTATCAATCATTCTTCCTTAAAACTGGTAAAAAATATCTGAACAAATAAACAAAGAAATAAAAATGTAAAATAAATAAACATCAATTGTGCAAAAAGGAATACCAAAAATTATTTCCGCAAGGATGCCTTATCAATGGAAGCAAATCGTTAATAAAATATGAAATGCTGGATACAAAGTAACAGTAAGTTAGTCCAGCTACAGAACAATATCTTGAAATAATGATCTTGGAACATCTGTCAGTTTATGAACTTACCTTCACCGAAGAGTAAAGACTGCATTTTAAATCTTATTGTTCAGTTTTACAGAATAACAAAAGCATATTCCTTTCCTGAAACGTGTAGGCCTATATAAGATATATATATGAAGGTATATAATTATTAAATGTACAATTAATGATTCTACGGTCAGCCTATATCAATGCCACAGTCGAAGAATTCCAAGGACAAGAGTTCCAACAGCAATCACAGTACCTGAAAAAAATGGTAATAAAAGTATAGTACTCCCCTTGATGAACTACACATGTCCAGCAGGCGCACACATGCACACACACACACACATACTGGCGCACACACATACACACACATACATACATTCATTAATACACGGGTAGAAGAATGGACAAAAGTGATCTCTGTAAGAATGGACCCCCAAGTCTACAATACAATACTCCAATGAAAGCCAATCTCAAATACTGTAATAATTAAATTCCCTTTACACTAGATGGTCACTACCATGAGTTCCTGCTCCACAACAGAAACCCCACATGAGATGAGCACTGTGGGTTCTATTCCCTAAGCTGCCACTTGTGGTAACAGGCTTGTTTTTTTGTTGTTGACTGCAGTCCTTGTGGTTAGCCAATTGTTAAAAGAACTAATCACTTCGTTCCTGACCCTGACTCATCCAACTAAACAGGTCCCATCCATCTTTTGAAATTGCAAAACTGTACAGGTTTAACATTCCTCGCAACACTGTAAGGTTATTTAAAAGGCGGGACCTCTGAATTTAAAGTCCATCACCAATAAGAATGAACCAAACGGGATAATTTGTGAAAAGTGCCTTTTCCAAGACTGAGCTCAGCCTCAACCTATCCTTTGCTTACAAGCATAAAGCACACATTTCTCATTAACTAGTTCTCTTAAAAAGTACTTACCTCCAGCATATTTGAATATATCATTACGGTACACTTCATATGTGGTCTTCAGGTTGGCCACTTCGGTATCAATCTTGTTGTGAAGCATCTGCAGTCGCTTTTCATTTTCAGCATGCTGAAGAAAGATAGAAAAGTATATCATTTTACAGATCGAGGTACTGAACTAACAACAGCAAGACAATCCATTTCTGGTTATGAACATACAGAATGCTGTATCCAAACAAAAAAGAATAAAAGGTGAGAGTCCACAGATCCTTATACTGAACTCATCACTGTTTAGAGAAGTAAATCGGCATGACATGATAATGGTTAATTTGTCATTTAGTACAAGAAAAGAGTATATCTCTGCCGTCTTAGGAAAAAAGGACGAATATCGGATATTGGGTCGTATAGAGATATCAATACCACGTGAAAGAGCATAAAAAGCTGCATCTTTTGAACCAGTGGCAATTATATTTAGAGAGGTTTGAATACTTTAATTTGGTATTGGAAGTATCATCACAATTTTTTCTTTTTAATTTATTTTATATTTTATGAAAGAAAGACGAATCTCCCGTCCTACTGTGAAAAAAGGACGAATACCGAGAGGTTTCTCCTCAGCTGTATATTAGCAAGTGAAAAGGAAAAACCGTTTAAGAAAAAGCGACGAATATTCGTCTTTCTTCGCCAAAACATGCTTACGTTACATTGCTACAGGTCTTACGATGAAATACCAAAAGGCTCAAATCCTGGCATATCCGGCGTTGATCCCCGCAGTGTCAAGTGTGTTGCACGCAGTAAGATGACAAGCACGACTGCTTCTGTACACTCACCTGAATTTGAACCCCAGATCTTTGGCTCCACCCCCAAAGCTCAATTAAATAACAGTCTGGAAGCCACAAAACACTTACCAAAAAAATGGACGAACCTCAAATATCACAGAAACGAAAAATCCAGGACATTATTATTTGACAACGTCGGGTGAAAGAAAGACGAATATTGCCATTCGTCCTTTTCCCATAAAAAAAACTAATCAAAACTTCATCAATCTGTTATGAAAGAATGACTTTTGTCTTCTTCACAAAATTTTGTTGATATTTCCAAACAAAATTTTAACTACAAGTGCATAATTGCACCATCCTTCCTCCTGCCAAAAATCAAGTTAACAATAAAATAAAAAACCAACTTTTTAAACATGAGACGAATAAATTTGATTTTTTGGCCCTCCTGGAAAATGGGTATGTCGCGATATTCATCCTTTTTCCCCAAGACGGCAGATCTAATTACCAGAAATGGAAGAGCACGGTAAAAAGACCTACCAGTGATACCCTCCAACTACTTGCACTTGCATTTGTCAGTTCAAGCTCCACTTCTCCACTTTAATCAATTATAAAAATGAATCATGTAAGCAATAGAGGAAGGAATGAGACAATCACTGCCATTACTCACCGCTTCTATGGCGCGTCCTCGTTCCAGGTTGATATCCAGACTGAACTGCCCCTTCAACTTAACAATCTCATCATTCATATGCCCTTGGATCTGAGACATCTCAAAACTCATTTTCTGTTAAAAAAATAAATAAAACACACTGAAGGTACATGTAGTATGTAGGCCTACAATCATTAGTTCTTTTTCCCCCAAAAATATTTACAACCATATATAGTAAAAAATCAACTTTTAAAAATCAAATATAGACAAAAGAACTTTAACAATTATAGTTTATGTAAATGGTTCTACAAAAGTATTCACTATCTTTACAAACAGTCTTTAGATGATTAAAAAAACAACACTTTTAATTCAGTGGTAAAGACAGAAAAATAAACTTGAATTTAAACAAAGATGAGGTCAGCACATTTCTGAAAATGGGTTTTCCCAATCTTCACCAAAATAATGACAACAGAGAAACAGGACATGGGGTAAACAGCATGTAGCACACCCACCTCAGTATCTGTTTTGAGAGAAGAAAACTCAGTCTTTTGCAGAAGTGTCATGTCCTTCTTCACAGATGCTATCTCCGCAAGCAGCTGCTGCACTGTTATTTCCTGAGAAATAGACAATAGCAATTCACACAAAAGTCAGTTTCATGGAGATACATAAAAATAATTATGAATATTATCTTGGATTAACTCTTCATTTATACAGAAATTACTACCATATAGTTAAAAATGCTCTTACCATTATCATGTAGTTCTTCCACTGAAAATTGCTTTATTCAGCTTTATGCATAGTTTCTGCCTTGGACTTACTATGGACTGAACCTATGGAGAGTCTTCATCAATGACTTGCTTTGAGATGTACAAGGGCTGGCTATAAAAGCAACAATTTTTGTCCTAATATAATAAAAATGTAACACATCATACCTCAACATGTGCTTTGTTTCTCAATGTAATCACCATCCTGCTGGACACATTTTCCCCATCACTGGATCAGGGAGAAGATACCCTCCCTGAAGAATTTTCCGTCAAGGAATTTCAAACAATCTTTCACGGCTTCCACGAGGTCTTTGTAGTCGGCGAATCGCTGTCCAGAAATATGGCGTTTCATTGGACGAAAAAGGTGATAATCTGACCGGGTCAAGTCAGGACAGTGAGGGGGGTGTGGCAGAACTTCCCAGCCGAACCTTTGGATTTGTCTTTCGTAGCGTATGTGGTGTGTGGCGTTGTGTTGTCATGCTGTAAAATGACCCCGTTGGACAATCGGCCAGGTCTTTTTCGGAGCAAAACCTCTCTCAACTTATCAAGAGTCTGGCAGTATCAGTTAACATTAACACTTTATCCTCGTTCCAGAATGTCAAGAAGCAGAACACCCTTAGCGTCCCAGAAAACCGTGGCCATGAGTTTCTTCACCGATGACTGAACTTTAAACTTTTTCGGGGGAGGTGAAGACGTGGGCTTCCAAACCATTGAATCTCTCTTTGTCCCAGGTTTCATGTGATGTATCCAAGTCTCATCACCTGTAATAATGCTTCTCAGGAATGCTTCATCGTATTGTTGGAGGTCTCCAGATGCGTTCATGACTCCCATGACAGCTTGGCGACAACGATTCAACAAAGTCTGAGACACTTCTACACGTTGCGTCTTGTGGTCAGCTGTCAGCTCTTTTGGGACCCATCGAGCAAAGACCTTTCAATAGTGCAGCTCATCAAACACTATTCTATGGACAGTCGACTTTGAAATGTTTAGCTACTCGAAAATTTCACGAATTTTTAGGCGCCTGTCTGTTTGAATGAGTTCGATAACGCGACTCTTGTTGTCCTCAGTCTTGGCAGAAAAATAAGGACCTGGGTGAACTTTGTCATTGACATCCGCATGCCCGGCTTTGAACTTTCTACACCACTCAAATACCTGTGACTTTCCATAACTTTCTCCCCATAAACTGACTTTATTTCAGTGTATATTTCTATAGGTTTGAGACTTTTTGCGGTCAGAAATCCAATGACTGACCTCACTTCTACCCTTGACCAATTTTCCAAGGGGGTAGACATCTTAGGAGAATTGCTGTGTTCGTTTGGTTTGTGCGATGCTCATGGCGCTCTATCAGGAAATTCCTAGATGATTGTTTTACAAGTGCGCGTTCACAGAATGTGAAAATATAGAATAGTTTTCAAATTACAACCAAATTCCGGTTTTCCATGGGACAGCCCTCGTATAACAAGCCAGAAATCATACACACTAAACACGGGAAATTGAACTTAAGAAAAATATCGGCATCTTTACCGCCAAAAATTGGACAACTTTATTTCCTCAACGAGAATTTAAGCTCATGGTGGCATTAATTAATATCACACCATATAAAAAAACTCAATAAATGTTCCAAACACAAACTTACAACAGTACTGGCTCCAACAGTGTGTTCTTGGCTTGTAAGATAATGTATTCTTCTTCTTCTCTCCTGTGTCCACAGCTAGATTTTTGGAGATGTCACTAGTACTAGTAGTTTTTCTACCCACGGTACAATTGTTTCTATTACATAATATGGCCTATCTCACGGCCAAAAATAAATAGTGTCCCTCAATCCTCAGGCAGCCAAGTGCCCTTTTTTGGATACAGTCTCATTTTCTGGGGTTCTGATTAAACCAGGTAGGCTTACTCTGACCTTAGGAGAAAGCATGCTACCTCAAGACTTAAAACGCACAAGGACAAAATGTTACTTTCTTGCATCATTTACACTGTGCCGCCAATATAAACGACAGTATTTATCCTGCTATGTTCTATATTCTACATTCTGTAATAACAGGGTAGTAATTGGTGGTCACTGATTGTCTTTTTATTTATACATTCGCAACTACTGTTTTTCTTCTTTTTGTTATAAAGATCAGTGACCACCAATTATTACTTCCCCAGCAGGTGATCTATTTCTCCCTGCGTCGCTCACCTTTTGCAGCTTTGTGACCATGTGCCGGCCCTGGTGATCCAGTGTGGTGTTGATGACTTCCACAAGACATTCAGCGCAGCCTTCTGCCTGCTGCCGGGAGAAACCTAGCAAAACATTCCAGAGTCATTGATTCAACAATTAAAGTCAGAGCACTTGTCTCCATCAGTAATGGGAATTGTTGCCAGTGATTACGCTTTATGTGTGTGCCTGATATGGAGAGAAGACCCATATAGGTTTAAGTGTTAAATGTTTATGTGTATGTACATGTGTGTGTGTGTGAAAAAAGAGAGAGAGAGAGAGAGAGAGAGAGAGAGAGAGAG